TTCAAGGGGGACAACAGATCAGAAACTCTGCTTAAAGCTAATAGAACATGTAATGCGATGTGATAATTATTAAATTCTTAGTGAACAAAACGAGTTATGATTCTTATCCCTCTTCTTTGCAAAGTCAATAATGCGTAATTTTAATAGTAATAATCTTTCTAGTCTGTTAAACCAAAACATCATTTCAAACGAAATATGCTACAAGAGAGTATCCAGAAGATGTCATTTTTCTCAAGTGATATTACAAGATACGCTTTGGTGCAAGTTGGAAGTTTCGCATTGACGCTGCGAACATTTGGTTAAGTTGGCTATTGATAGTACGAGGGATTCAAAACCAAAAGTTTTGGAAAAATTTCCCCTTATAATTGTGCGCATGTCAGGGAAAAGTAACGATAAAAACTGCTGAAAATTGCTATCCGACGAATGCTATGAAAGGCGTCGTGATCACTCAAAAGGAAAAAAAAGACGATTGCTGCTTATTTATAAGCTAGCTTCAAAAATCAGAAATTTATTAAAAAGAATTTGCTGGGAAAAATTTTTTAAATTAAACAATGCTTCAAGTTTTAGGTGCCTGAAAAGCTTAGCCAAAAGTGAAACATCTTTATGCCATAAAGAAAGTGTTTATTAATTGCATTCGTAAATGACTTTATTACTACAACAACATACTTTTATTTTCATCACACCTGATCACTAGTTATTCAATTCACGATTACTGTCGGCGCGTTCATTATACACTTTTGGGATATTCATTATTTGATTTATGATTATTGCTAGCATATGTATTGCATTAAAGCTACTTCTATTTCAACGACAAGACGAGATGATACAGAGAAAAAGATAGCCTGATAACAGCTGAATACTTTCATCCATCTACTTATCTTTTTTATGTTTTTTTTTTTTTTCATTCCCTGTATGTTTTAAGACTACTTTTAAAATGTCCATTTAAATTTGAAGAGTGAATGAAAGACTATGATTGGAGATGGGATGAGTTATATGAGGCACCACCAGGTACCGTTGGCCAGTACTTCGACCATTTGTGTATTCCATTCAATGAGATCCGAAGGTGACCATTCTGTCTAAGCTATTCAAGACTTTATCATATAGCTTTTTCTTTCGAAAAAAGTAATTCCGAATATGTTCAATGTTAGACACGATTTTCGAGTGCATGTGGCACATTAAACGACAGTGAGCTTAAGCTTTATCGACTACCTCTCCCATATTCCTTCGAATTTTCAATGAAAAGACGAACTGATAGATCGACGCATTCATTCTGTCTACTCTTTCATCATTCACACCGCACAACTATTAGGCAAATTTGCTTTATGGTAATTATTAATCAAATGCTGTTTCAACTTATCACTCATAACAAGACATGGCTTTGCATTTGTTAAGTCCCAATGGTTTGGCTAGAACGCTGTCCAACCTTGATTTTGTAACAGTAAATTAATCCTAATTTCGGAAGAGAGTTCCTAGAAAGATGGACTTTTCCTTTCACTTTAGAAATAAAATCGCATTTTGCTTTTTACATCGTGCGGGGAGAATTTCGCTAATTTCATAAATGTTCGATTAATTGGGAGATCCTTTTGTTGTTAATTTCCTTACTTCATTTAATTATTTGAATGTCATTTCTTAAAAATCAATGTTTCTTTCAATCGCACAAGCTGGAACTGTTATGATAGCTCATCTGCACAGGCTAAAGTCAGAGAGGAAAATGTACTGCATGGGGTCAAGATCTCCTGACACTTGCGACGTTCCTGCTTTTCCGAATCCAATCACTAGGTAAATCGGAACAATCAAAGAAATTACTAAATATCGAATCAATGCGAGCAGACACTATAGACTGTTTTTTTATATGATGACAAATGGTGAGCCCCGCACATAAAATGATGCTTCTCCTAGGCGAAGCGCCGTTGCCTCTGCTCGGGGGATGACGAGAAAGGGCGGGGGGATACTTTCCAATGCCGTTCTTCAAAACCAGTGCAACAATTTCTTTTTCTTTCGCTTTTTTTCAAGAAGTACTGAACACACACACGCATACACACATGCACACACGCACATACGTACACTACACACACACACACATACAAGCACATGCACACACATGCACACATGCATACACATACACATATGCATAACACACACGTATGCGTTTATATACACTACACATATACATCCACACGTACAACATATACGCACATGCACACACACACATGCACATACACACACGCACACGCACATGCACACACACATGTACACGCATACGCATACACATGCACAACACGCACGCATGCGTACCTATACACACACACATACACATGCACAAATACATACATATATACACGCACTCACATATGTACACACACAATGCATGCACACATACACACATACACAGTTTTGAAGACAAGGTATTCCATTCACAGACATACTTTTTTTAATTTTTAGGCCTCTTTCTCATTCGACGATGAGGCTCTTCGACTACTAGAGAGGCAGAGAATAGTACAATGAACAATGTAAATAAGAGAGGAAGAGAGAGATGGAAGGCAGTTTGACTCTCCCTGAGAGAACAGAAAACTTTGGTTTTTTTTTCAAATTTAGAAGAGGGATGTATAAAAGGAGAGGAGGGGAGGGGAAGGGGTCGGGGTTGGAGCGGTTGGTTCGGTTGGCGAGGGGTAGACGGCTCGTTGCTGGGTTACCGTCCGGACCGGCCGTTCCTATCCGCTATTGCCTCTCTTGCTCTTCGTTTTTCACTTTTTTTTTGCGAATTTCCCCACCCACCATCCAACTAGCGAACTGCCACCAGTACCCCCCCAATCATCGCTCTCTGTTCCACCATTGATCTCAAGCGACCAGCCGATCCGACAACCCGACTCACTGATCGAGGAAACCCCACAGCTCTCCGGCCATACCACCGATATGCGAGCTGCCGATGATTGTAGTTCTTACGGATAAAGCTATTTTTTTATATTCTCACTTAAGGAAATGTCGAATTTCTTTGCTTTATCACGTGGCAAAATATGAAAAAAAAATGGATCGTTTTGTGCTCCCAGATCAAAGGTCAAGTCGCAGCGGTAAACTTCTTTGTCGCCTTTTCGCCCACTTTCAGCAAAAAAAAAGCCAAAGAAAGGGAAGAAACTGCAACCACCTAGTTTGAATTCCTTAAGATTTCCTCCCATCATGCCCGCTCTCAGTACGAAATGATAGGGGTGCAGTAGTACTTCAGCAGTGTCTCACATCTTTCATTTTACTCCCACTAGAGAACATTCGGAAAACCAGAAAAAATCAGCTTTCTTGTAAGCAATCAAAATAGTTTGAATCAGTACAGTACTCTTCCCCTATACTGTCATGCTAATTGCCACAGTCTACTTCATTTCATCTCTTTCATCTTATTTAACTGATCAATGGGCTCAATATCTGTCGAATTCCGCTTACTTCAATTCCATTTCCAGGCCAGTTCAAGTCAATTGTTCATTTTAAAGTATGCCTAATTTTGAACGGTAATTGAAAATATCACAGCTTTTAGAGAATACTAAAGAAAATTTTCAGGAAAGACATCAACTTTCCGCTGAAGTTGTGGGAAACTTTTTGTGATATAAGGCAACAAGCTGAAACAGTAATTTTGAATTCCTTTTCTCTGAAAAAACTTTTCTATTTCATTTCTAGTGCTCGTAATATTTGTTGTTGGTTAGCCTGACATCAGCTGCGATTTGGCGAAGTAGGAGACACTGATCAAAGAAATTTAGGAGATACAAAAGTGTTCTGTAGCAGTTGATGATAGCTTTGCATCCGGATTCTACCGCAAGCTTTCCATTTAAGTTTTCGGAATAACAGTTCTTGTTACATAATGTAGTCAAAAATACTGTAAATATTATCCGAGCTGGAAGGTTGAGAAATTATAATTTTGAGGAAAATGGAGCATTTGTCCTTGCAACACCAAAGGCAGTGGATGACTACAAGGCAGGTCTTTTGTCTGCTATGTGGGATAAATATATATTTTTTCTTGAATTTATCACCATTTGAAATTTCCAGATGGTTTGCAATCAGGAAATACAATGCCAGTTTTTATTTTCGTTGCATTTGTGTTTTTGGCGGGGTTTATAGAAAATCAGTAGTATCATTTCATCTTGAAAGGAAAGAACTGTCCTTTCAGATGTTTGGAATACTGTCCAGGAGACTGCTTTACTGCTTCCTTAGGATTTTGCGCATTGGTTTTGTTCTATCGTCTTTTAATTCAAGAGTGCAACACGGATACTTTCTTAACGATCATCTAATAATCTATCCAATTAAAATTATCAGCTTAATTAGAGGATGAATTTAATAGAATAGATTGTTGGAAGTGGTTAAGAGAATTCATGGAAATCAAGTCAGAGGGTAAAAGCATCAGATGAACGAGCAATTTCAACTTCAAGATAGCGAGAAACATTTTACATGTTCAATTAATACTTTTCTTCGTCAGTGATCTCCTCTTTTGGTTTTTACAATTTCGCAGTGATCCAGATCGGTGCTTTTTTCCTTTTTGTTTTTATTCAAAAAAAAAAAAGAAAAAAGAAAAAAAGAATGAACTAGAAATGCCGTGATTAAGAGATTTAGATATTTCGGGAAAAAAATTATTAAATTATAGCAAATAAACGTCAATCCAGTGCTCAATTATTCACTGAATGACAAGGTGGGTAATTAGTTTTGTTCGATATTATAAGTTTCAACAACAACTGGATAGCGTTCTAAGATAGACTGCGACTATTTCATCATAATTCATATTTCTCTAGATCATTTTTTATTCATGGATTAATGATTAAGCAAACGTTAAAATATTCCGTTCCTAAATCGGGCTATATAATGATTATTAGGCCATTTTGTCCATAGTAGATATTCTATTCTATTACTATATGAGGTTATTTCCTTTCTTCTCGAAGAGTTTTTGTCTTTCTGGAGTGCTCAAAAAGGAAGCCATCCTTAGTGTCTTTTCATGTTGCAGTAACTCTGGGAAAAATATGTGGGAGGAATTAGCGTCTGTACTCTTAGAAATAATTACACTTCATATGAGAAAGGTCAGGGGACGAAATATTTTTTTGGGGAAGGAGAAGGTCGCCTTTAGGTGATCATTTCTCCAAAATCCTGCGTTTTACCATCTTACTTTTTTTCCGTTTTTTTTTTTCGTTTTTTTTTATGACGACGTGAATTTAAAAATACAAGTTGTAAGGAACTTCACATAACACTAAAAATAAAATTTTTCTCGAATACACACAGATTGAAATGAAAATATAAAATTTAAAAAGTGTTATATTTGAGTACTGATAATATTAAGAAATTTCTTAAACTTGCAAGAAAAACGTAAATCTAAATTTAGGCGTCAAAAACTCAGTGCTCACACAAGCACCAATTATGGATCTAATCCAGGTTTTCGTTTTCCAGAATTTGTTAGGAGTGAAGCATATTTTATTTAAAACAAAATTTATATAAAAGTTAAAATTGTTATTCGAAACAAAATGTCGAGAGACGAAGTATGGGTACGTACAAATGAGCCGATAAACAAATGGACATGTAAACATCAACCTCGCAACAGACGGACTTCTCATCTCCCTTTAGCTTTCCTCTAACAATAAAGCGTCTTTTTGATTGTTATTGATAGTCTCACATTTGATTCAGTATATTGTGATATATAATACGCCGTCTAGTTAGATTTTTATTAATTAGATTGCTTAGGATTACAAATTTTTGAAGTCTCTCTTATTCCATTTTAATTCATATTCTCCCATTTGATTTGATATATGAAATTTCATGAAAATTGTGATTTAGCCATCAGTATTAGCTAGAAATTTCCCGTTTAAGGCTTGTTTCACACATTCATCATCTGATTCTTTGGCTAACGTCGCTTTACAAGGCAATTGTTGCTGCAGTATCGATGCATCCACACCTTTTTTCTTTGAATTGATCGCCGATATCATTGTCATCGTCCTATCAGTTTTTTGTGAACAAGGTTTTTTGTATTGCACGAGACCATTCGAGTATTTGGTGAAGGTAGTTTTTATGTTGGTGGTGACGGTGCCTGTTGGCAAATGTCCTCACTCGCTCTGTCCATCCCTTTTGATGGTATTATTACTTGGTGTAAGGCAGTACCAACCAAACCAACATAAAAAAAGGCACCCTGGTTTCAGTATTGGTCGTTTTGTTGTGGCACTGGTAGGTGGAAGGAAAGAAGGAAACGATGGATTCACGGTGCTTATCGTTACTCCCTCTCATCTTTTACTCATGTCATATCGCTCTCTTATAATTATAGACTTTTTTGTAGTTGATAACCTCAACTAGGACTTTATTACTATAACCATTGCTAATACATACTACAAAATCTCAAAAAAATTTGATGGCATTGTATAATGATACCTTTCTCACTACTTTTCTTTGTTTTCAGCAAGAACCTAGAAGACCCTGGCTGACTTTTCTAGTGTGCACCGTTGTTGAAGTTATCGGAAAAAAATCTTATTTTCATCGCAGAAATATATTTCATATCTTCCATTTAACTCCGCGATTACTGTGACAGATTCCTGTATGGCCACAGAATTAACGAAAGCTTACTTATGGCTTCATCTCGTTTTGCTTATTTCGCACAATCACTGCCTTACAAAGATTATGAAGGGACTAATTATTTGTGGCACCAGAATAATAGTATTTCTAAGGCTATAACTGCCTCGATAGGACATGAATCCGGATTTCCAAAATAACTGTTAGGAAAATTCAGTTCGTCGGTTTAGTTCTGAATGACGTAAAATAGAATGGTACTGGAATTTTGTCTGTAAAAGTTAAAAACTCAACTGATCAGCTACTGTTATTTCTCTGTCATTCATGTTGATGCCAATTTTATCCTAATCTTATCTCCACTATCAGGAAGTGGAGATGAAACCAAATAGGTCTCATACAGGAGGCATTAGCAAGAATATTCAGATTGCGCTTAGTCATATTCTGTGACGTTAAATGATGAAATGGCATCTGTTATCATGATATAAAACTGTCATCAGAACAACTTTCTAAATCGAAAAATCTGAGCAGTGGATGATTATTTCCACAAGATATGCATATTTCATTTCTTGAGGATCGTTATACATCCATTTAGCTTCATCTCTTAATTTCATCAGTTTTCCTCAAAGATATCCGGAAATGGCAAAAACGAACGGGATGAGTAACAAACACGTGATTATATACATGCACACGCAGATAAAATCCACAAACGTGAAGTGAGATTTGACACCGTGTTAGCTTGCATCCTTTCTAACTTACACTTCATTAAATTATCATCTCAAAAGCAGCATTGGATTCAGATTTCAGAACTAGAAGAGGTACATGATGCACACTGCAAGTATGCTTTATTCTTTCTGTTTCAGTGGATACTATCAAACATCTAGAAGTTAATCATTATATGGAGAGGACAGGTAGCTTCGGAAGCGGAATCGTCTGCTAGCTGTTAACAAATGATATGATATGCGTGGGCGTATGCGTGTTCACAAATACTGGGAAAAGAGTGCCAGTGTAAGTGATTTGGCTCAGTCAATAATCGCTACAGATTACAGTAACAGTGAAGATTTTCAGGAGTGATGCAAGCTATTTTAAGAAAGTAGAAAGATGTGTGTTTTGTGGATTCACTTTAACATGACTGGGTTTTGTTGTTGGGAATGAAAAGGAAATGCAAAAATGGAAGGGAACATTACTAGTGAGAGATTGTTGGAGGATAAAAGAAAGATGGAAGAGAGCAGAGGAGAGGAGGAAATCTTAACTGGAAAGTTGTAGAAAAAACTCCTTTGGAGAGAGAGAGGGAGAGAGAGAGAGAGAGAGAGA